TGAGCAGGGGAACACGGCAGGGACCTGCCAAACTGCATGCCAAACAGAGTGTGTTTTCCAGAGCTTCAGAGAGTGCAGAACAAGTGTTGGTCCAGGAAGGTGATGTGACATCCACAATGAGAATCCGTGATGGTTGCTGGCAATGTACTTTAGTAGCAGGAAATGTTCTCCGTGTTTCTGAGAGCAATTTTCTGGAATTCATGGCTTCTGAACACAGGTATTAGATGCCCAGTTATCCATCTGCATCTGAACAGGAAAAATTAACAAATAATAGTAATGAGTGAGACTCTCCCTTTCCCATTCACTTCAAAGCAACCTGGGACATAGCAGATAGTAACAAATTAGAGTCTTACAGCTTTCTCCAAAGCAGTCATTGTCCATATTCTAAGATAAACCTACATAAATACAAGCAAAAATGCACATGGTCAGAAAACAAAATGGTTCAACTAAAGAAAATGCATGGCAGATATACTCTTACAGATGTAAATGGAGCAGTTAAAAATGTTAATAGCATAGCCATGCCTTGCCCATGGATGAGCTGTGTGGTATGTTGCATGATCCCTCAATATGGCTCAGGTGTGTGGCATCAATCTCCAGCAGAGAAGTGATCTCCAGCAGCTGGTGGACAGCAAGACCTCAAGCTCCTAGTCCTACCGCTGCAGTGGCCAAGTGATTATACCCAAACACCCTGAGGAGAACACACTTCCCAGTCCTTGATACCCAGCATGAGACAAGTAGCTGCCATATCCAAAAAAGGCCAGCATGATGCAGCAAGAAAATATCTCATATACATAAATATTACTTGGTGGAAGGTGGAGAACTGACCTTTGTCCTTCAGGGTATCTAATACCTGGGTTTAGCTCTCTGCACCGACAGAAGCCTCAATGAATGCAGCACTGAGGTTCCCCAGCAGTATCTCATACTGTTCAAGAACATGGGAGTGCTGCAAGCCTTAACAAATCTGTAATGTCAGAAACTCCAACAGAAAATATTTCCAGCCAAACACCAGCTTTGATTCCCAGAGCTGGCTGGAGATGCTGGGAATGCTATGCATGGAGGTGGCTGGGCTCCACGTGTCACAGAGCTGTGCCAAACACAGGATTTGTTAGAACAGTTTGGGGGTGCTGTCACTGTTGCAGAAGGAAGGAAAGGAAAGATTAGGGCTCCTCAGTTCCCAGGTCCTGTGTGTATGGGAAAAGAGGTGATCCCTGTTGCAGCGCTGTGGGAGACCATGGATCTCAGGCACACAAACAGAGTGTGCTCAGGACGTGTTTCTCCCCAGCCTCTTTTTATATGTTTCCTTTCAAATATCCACCCTTTCATCCAGCAGCACCGCTACGTATCTCTGCATGCATAAAGCTCAGCTGGTGCTGTTTTGAGAGACTTCCCCACAGTCTTTAAGAAAATTTGACCGTTTCTGTGAAATAGTAAGCAGAGAAGAAGCGAGAAGCGATCAAGAGGAGTGTTACTGTCAGGTCTTGTGTCTTTCCTTTGCCTCACGTGTACAAAACAGAGGAAACCACTGAGCCCTGAGCCCAGAGCGAACACCTCATAGTTTGGCTCAAAGGTTTAGAGGCAAAGTATTCATGTGCACTCATTCTCAGACCTTGAATATGACGTTTGTTCCCCTCCCCCATTTCCCTTCAGTGCATACATCTTAAGCACAAGAGCCAGCCTTTTCCTGTTAAAAAATTCTTTCTTCCTTCATCATGAACAAAGCTCCTGCCTAAAATCTTCTCTTCAGTAAATCTAAACATATCTGCACAAAGCACTCAAGGTTGTTTCTAAGGATATAGAAAATGCTTTTAAAAACGTGTCTTGGTCCTGGTAATGACAGTAGTAATAAACTATAGAAGTCTATTTGTGCCCAGAAACGCGTTTGTATAATACCCTCTCAATACGAACTAGAATAAATTCTTTCTTCCTACACCTGTGTCAACCCCAGCAGACTTAGTAAAAGTCTGAAGCAACACTGGATTTACATAGCTGGGCTCAGGTCAGAACCCAGGCCACTATGCATTCCTGTAATTTGTGTGGTACGTTCAGCTGAGACAAAGAACTCTTTTATGTTCACCAAGGAGACAAGCTACTATATTTCCTAAAGCCTCCAGCACTTTGGAGTAAGAATTTCTGTAAATCTTGAAAAGAGCAAGAAATGCATTTCTATTTGATTGAAGTATCATCAGAAAAAAACCCTCTGTATCTCTAGGATGTTCCCCATTGAAGGCAAAACAAGAGTGATCACAGACTGAATTTCAAAACTGAGGCTAACATTTCAGAACTGGTGAATTATTTATATATATAGATAGATATAGATCATGTACATATGTGTAGGTATCTTGGTTTGACTAGTAACCTGATATAATACCACTGGAATATTAAAAACTGCCAGATACCTCTTTAATCAGTGTCTCTTCTGGAGCTTTGCAATTTACAGGAGAGTTTACTAAATTATTTCACTGAATCTGGGAAAATATTTGTCTGTATTTTTTGTGACGAGGTGTCATACTACTGAACTCTGCAAGCCCCCAGTGCTTTCTCAAAGAAACAACACCCATTCTGCAGTCAGAAATCTAGAAGAGTTGGGTCTTTGATTTGCATTGGTTTCAGAGAGGAAAATAAACCTTGATTCTGAAAAAGACAGTTTTCCTAAATTTGAACGAATTCACTCGTTTTTGACACTGTACAGGACTGTGCTTATTTTAAACTGCTTTAGTAAAATGGATCCCTCATCAGCTATGCTCTTTATCAACTGAATGAATTTCATTTTGTCATAATTGTGGTGTCTTAATTAATCTCTGCTTAGCAATATTCATCTGATTTATATGCAGTTCTCTGTACAATATTTGACATACAGTGTAAACTGCCCACCTCTTTACAGCCCACGCCAGTTACACTTAGCTGTGATGAGGTTGGATAACTGAAGAATTCTGTATAGTCTGACTGGTTGCTATGGTAAAATCATATCTTCATTTACATGTCTTCATTTAAGCAGCAAGTGAGCTGACAGGGAGCCTAGCCTAAGGGATTACACCATAATTCAGTGTGTATGAGTGAAAACTGTTAGTTCTAGCAGCTGATATGACATTAACTTATTGCTCAATAAAACAGAACTTATCAACTGTCAGAGCTAGTTGGTAACAGTGATGTACCTTTTGCTCAATGCAAGAAGACAAATTTTTCAGAACTAGAAAGACAGGGACAGAAAAAAAAAACATTGTTGTATTGAGTATTGAGTGACTTGTGAGTGCTGATGACATTCTGCAGTTGCATGTTATCCTACGTGGTTAATTTGTTCCAGTTATACAAAACCAGTCAATAATATCCAAGTCTAAAAAAGGGTAAATGAGAGGCAACCCCAAACCCACTGGTTAAAGAATACTAAGGACAGTCTCCATCTTCTTTCTAATAAAAGAACCAGCAAAACTTGGATTCAACCTCAAAGTGGGAATTAAAAAACAAGAAAAATACGAATAATGAGTTTAAGTTAAGAATGCCTTACTGGGTAGCTAAGCCCTACAGTCCTACAGCTGTGAAGACAACTACTTTGACAGTGGTCTGTTTACAGAGAAGTAGGCAGTAAACCCAAGAAAACCTTGAGATGCCATAACAATGAATACAAGCTATTGGCAAGGAAATGCACACAAAATTATAAACAAAAGGCACCAACAAACAATAGCAGCCAACAGGTTTAAGGACAATAAAAACTTAATTAAAGAATAAAAGCTAGTCCTTAAACACATCAAGAACAAAAGACAATCTCAAAATAGTACAAATCTGCTATTAGCTTATAAGGACAAGATTTTCTGTAATAATGCAGAAAAAGTGTTCAATATTTTGATCTGCATTTAGAAAAAAAACCACATTGATAACTAATTATTTTCTTTTCCATTAGTGGTTAGAGAGGATATTAACCTGCAGCTGCTAGGACTGTGAGTTTTACATTTCAGAAAGGGGATCTTTGTGTCCAGGAGCTCTTTGAACCATCTAACCTTCATCTCATCTCAGAGCTGTGGAAGTCCCAGAATAACCATACTGTTCTTGTTTAAACAAAGAGCACACAAACCGGTTCAGATAGCAATAGCCTATTTGTCATAATGTACATACCAGGCAAATTCATAGAAACAGTGACGTAATGCAGTCAATAACAAATTAAAAAATAGGTGCCTAATTGTGCAAAATAAATCTCATTAATCAGTAGATTTCGGCAGGTTTACATATAGGTCTAGGTGGTCAGGACAGGAGTATCAGCAGGGTACAATTTGCCTCTATTCAGCATTCAATTTAAAAATGCTTGCTTTTAGTCACCATGTCACCATAAAAAGCAATGAATCCCCTCAATAAATAGATTAAGGGCTCGTTAATGGAGAATTTGCAGATATCTATAAACAAGGATTAGTCAGTAAAATGTTTCCACAGCAATCTATTTTTTACTTAGTTAGGGCAGAAACCAGATGAAAAAACGTCATTTTCTGATTAAGCTTCAAGACACTGAGGAACATCATGAATATGCTCATGTGGAAAACAGATCAAGATGCCTAAATTAGAGGATTTACTAGAGAAAAACCCGGCAAGCCATGGAGAAGCCTGAGCCGCAAAGTGGCTATGCAGTGTGGATGGTCCCTGTTGTATATCTTTTTGTCTACCTAGCCTAAAAAAGAAAGCATTTATTTAAAAAGGTCAGGATGAACAGAATAAAAACAAACAAACAAAAAAAGTTAGCATAAAATCAAGCTAATGAACACAAAATTATTCAAGATCCTACATAACAGAAGATATTACATGTTTTTCTACACACCAGTGCTATAACCAATAATAATACAGGGCTTGTGCTTGTATTGACATAAAATCACCAAATCTTAGTAAGAATAGCCACTTTATCATAGTGTTAAAATCACTCATTATAAACTTTATAGTTTTTTTTTTTTCTTAAAAGAACAGGAATTATAACATTGTAGGAGCTTAGAAAAAGGCATTTTCTAGTTCTGAATCACTACAAATGATGCAGCAAATGATTGTGAATGCTTATCACCCAGTGTGTTGACAGACAAAGCAAGACAAGGACAAGCCGATGCATAATGCATGCGCCCAGGTGCCCCTATAGAACAACCAGCCAACTCATAAAACCCATCAAGAATGCTCTGAGGAAAGCCGTATTATCATGAGGGACTTCTGTTTGAGTGATGTGCTGGAAAACTCAGA